TCATCATAATTCTAAAAATATTTGTAATAAAGTAATTTAACCTAAAGTATAAACAAATAGAGACTATTAGAAATAAATAAAATGTGTATTTTAATAAATAAAAAATAAAAATGCATAATAAAAAAAGAATAAATAGATACAACTACCACTTTCCTTATTTTTCTTTAAAAGTATGTCACTTTCTTGGAGCAATGTTGTCAACTCTGGCCAATACCTAAATGGGTGACCGCATGTTGCAGTAAGCTTGAATATATGGGTGCTATAATAGTTAACAACTTGGAATTGGAATTCAGAGTGCCGAGTCCCAATTAGGTTCCTTATAATTTCTTACACTCAATTACTCTTGGGAAAGGTTTGAATTCACCTTTTCTCCCCACAGCTATGGGTTAATTAGTGGGATATGTATCAGTAAATCTTTATCATCTTCAAAAAAATTCTTTGAATTTAAAAATATGTTTTGGCTCTAAAACCTACAAAAAGAAAAAAAAAAAAACACTGGGTGGGTCAAGTGTCCAAAATGAGTCGCACTAAGCTCTCACATATCATCCTGTTTGGAGAACTCACCAGCAGCAAGAGGCTATGTGGAAACAGAAAAACAATGCTTCAAAGATAACTTGAAAACATTCCTGACACCAGCCAACATCAACCTCGAGAAACCACTGCTGCAAATAGGTTTTCCTGGCATAGGACCATCCAAGAGGGAACTGAGACTTTCAAGTCCAACTGTCAACATAAAGAGGATCTGCAACATGCTGTTAGGAGGGCCTGAATTGCCCAGCCACGTCCAACCCCTCTGTGACTCCTGCTTACAAATCTTCAGGAGTAGGCTGGTCCTTCACAGCCATCTCTGTCACAACCACCAGAGGGGAGAGAGGATGATGATCCCGATGCAAGTGGGTGCTGACTAGACAGCTAAAAAATGAATCAATCTTTGAGCAATGTAAAAGATATATGTTTACTAATTGCCAGCGCTCATATAAAAACATTTAAAATAAATAAAACTGCTTCTATCAGCCACATCAGAGTAAGGACCCATAATAACTTTTACATAATTTTTATTAATATGCTGCTTTTGTAATCAGTTGAAGACTGTTGCATTTTCTACTTGTAGCAAAAAATCTATAGCTGTTTGTAGTACCAGTTGTACCTTGTCTTCTTCACAATCAGTTAGACTACTGCGAAACTCCACACACAAAGCATGTCCACTCAACTCCCTGACCTCTGCTGCCTGTTTCATGTTCTCTCATGCTCATTTTATCAAGTGGCTGAGGCTTGGAAATTCATCTTGCAAAATCTATGAGCTCCAAGATCAAGTTGTTCGTGGATAGTAGAATTTAGATCAGCCATATTTTCTTTCATGAATTTTGCACACGAGTCATGTACAAGTGTGTTTTGTTTCAGGAGGTAAGCCATTTTCCCTTCTACACAAATGAGCCAAACAACTTTTTCAAGTTAACTCCAACTAAATGATTTTTCATATTTTTTTTTTTTTTTTACTTTTGTTTTTTTTTTTAATCAGTTCTTTGCAGGTGATCTATCATTCAAATTTTTTTTTATCTTTTTTAAATTACCATGTCTCTTCGGAATGAAAGCAATCATAATCCTACACAGCTTCCTCTTTCTTTTAATGTGTAAAATGCTATGACTTCTTGGTGGAGAGAAAAGTGTTTTTCATTGCATCCACCGTACTTTGGAATTTAGAGTTTTTGTACTGGCTCTACAGAAGGATGTTGGGGATACCATCAACCAAATGTATGAACAATGATGAAGTTTTAGAGAAAATGGAAGCCAAAATGAAACTCATACTTAACAATCAGATATGCACAGGACAGATTGAATGAAAGAAAAACATGAAAATAATGCATAACATTTTGTAAGCTTGAGTAAATGGATAGTGAAACAGGGTGTAGGAAAAATAACAGAAAGATAAAATTTATTAAGAGCTACAAGGGACAGGAAGTTGCAGAGAGCCATGATCGCCTTTGTCCTGGTACATAGAGAAATGCAAAGTATATGCAATTGACTTGATCAGAATTTGAAATCACTCATTCCACACTGATTCTACATCCATAAACATAATAGTACCTTTACATTCCTCTATCAGTAACCACTCCTACAATTGACCTGTTCATATAGTTAGTCTTCACTATGTTCAAAAGTAATATGATACAGCAATAATTGTCAATGTTTTCTTTATTTCCTCATATTTTTTTCATTAAGTATAATTACTATTCCTTAGCTGAAATTTTGACTTACATTTCTTTTCCATATATGCTATGTAAATATATGTGCCATTGCTAATAATTCTGATGCAATTCTTTTCCTGCAACCTTAATAATGTCTGTTACTATGCCATCTTCACCAAAACATTTTGCAAACAATATTTCATCTATCAATATCTCATGAATATCACTAGTATCTCCCAGTGACTGTTGGTATTCTTATTTTAAAAAAATACAATTTTGTATAGTACTTCTTTACTATTAACATCCTGTCTTTATATTTGGTTACTGGATTGTAGAACTGAGAAGTAAAACTTTCCAGTTACCTAATATCTCCTGAACGTAGTATGAATCAGTCAAGTTACATGTCAAATCTGATTAAGGCCTGAAGAAGCAAATGAAGCCTTTCAAATATCACATATACTGGCTGAATGTATCAATAAAGAAGTTAAAATATTCTGTTCAAAGAAGGCCCCTTCACATACTTACTGTTTCCTTGATATGATAGTAACATTAACTATCCTAAGGGACATCAGAGGGTTGTCTCATGATGATAACATCAAAACTGAGATCAATCAAGTGTTCATGAGAACAAAAGCATGTCTTTCTCAGTTTGGAAACATCAATAAACTGATTATCACATTCATGTTAGCTCATCTAAATGGTCAAGGGCTGAAGTCAGAGTAAAAATGCTTGGCTTGTCCACATTCTTCAGCACCTTAATGTATATATATTTTTGCATACAGGAGACCCAAGTGACTGTAAGAACATTCTACTGAAATGGTTTCATCACTTCTTAGAATATTTTGATAATCATTCAGGGTGTGCCTCTTGGCTGGTAAGCTGCTTTTTGAAAGCAACCAGCTCATTTATCTTCAGAGAGGTAGCAGGCAAATTGTATGTGCTAAATGTTACTATAAAAGAAAAAATGTTCCCCTTTAAGGTATATGCATCCAATGGCAGCAAGGGAATCAATCACTTTGTGATATTGAGACAGATTATTTTAGCAAATGTTTGAAATGCTATTCTTGATTTTAATTTACAATGTGGGGACATTAAGAAGGGTAATTGTGCTACATGAGACTGACCAACAAGTGAATCTTGACATTAAAAAACCAAAGAAGTACAAGACCTACCTACAGAACCTATCAAACTATAAAAAAAAAAACTACTGTTAATATCTTATCAAAGCTAGAAAGTGCTAAAAAGACACTGGACAGGTTATGTTCAAATTCTCCCTGGAAACAAGGGAAATGGTTCAAACCATTGAAAAATTAAATTAAAAAAAGGTTTTTATTTTTTAAATAAACCTGCCCAAAAACATCTGGACAAAACATTCCTCAAAAATATGTATTAAACTTAGATACTATTATTTATTGAGGTGAAAATGATTCTATAAACTGGATAAAAACAGACATTTAAAAAAAGTGGAAAATTTAAAGGAAGTGTTACTAGAAATAGGAATGCATTAATGAAATAAAGAGAAATGAATACTTATAAATAACTGAATTGTACATTGATTTCAGGGAACAAAAACAGAAGTGATTTTTGTTGCCTAATGGTGGATGGATTTTTTTTTTATTTCATATATGCTAGGATATCAAAAGGAGAAAGGATATGAGCTTTTATCATTTTGTTATTACTTATTATTGGAATATGGTGTTGCAAAAAATTTCATAATTAAAAGTCAATGTTCTAGAAAAGATTTGTTAAAAAGAACAATGATTACTTTAAATGAGGCAATAGTATACATTCAAATACCTTATAAAATGTATGCATTCTAACAGGGACAAATGCCTTCCTTTTCTCTCTCTCTCATATATATATATATATATATATATATATATACATACACACACACACATGTTCCAGCCAGCCAGTCTCAGTATGTCCCTGCCTTCCTGCCAGTCAGCTAGTTTCAAGTCTTTTCCAGCTTCCTTTTCGCAGACTTTTCTTGCCAATCTTGCTATCAAACTGCATGTATACGTACACACAAAGCATAGATTTTGAGTAAAAATATTAATAAAAACAAAATAATTGAAAGTCATAATTCTGCAGATATTCATTGTTGATATTTTATTTTAGTGACATGGTCGCAATGCTGCAAAACACATAACAAAAATTGCTGTATGTCTTTGTCAGGTGTGCTGTTAAATTTTCAAAATGAATCAACTCGTCAATATGCTATCTTGCATAATGCCCATACAAAAATATTAAACAAATGAAAAGTGAATGGTAATTGAAAAGTTTTCTTATTTTCTCTCCCTTTTTATGACAAAACAGCCCCCCCCTCATAGAATAAAAAGTGAGTGAAAAGAAGTGTTAGCTTCAATGCACAAATAAAATGAGATTACAGAAAGAATTCAAGTAGTGAATAAGGAAAAACATTTCACAACAGTTTAATGGAAATGAAATTCATGTTTTGCTTTTTTTAAATACAAGAAATAATGAGAAAAAAAAAATTGAAAAATAAAATGTTTCGCTTTTTAATACCCAGATTTATTCCAGTCATTTCAAAATCTGAAACAAAATCTACGTAATGTGATAATAATAAAAAAAAATCCGATGAAGACATGATACCAGATTGAAATATATCTCCTCTACCATAAAGAGCAGGAACTAAATCCCAATATCCTGGAGATAATGGTTTCTGAATTATTCAAATATTTAGCACTAATACATAATAAAAGAGATTTTAATCTCAAACCAGTGGAAAAGAAATTGCTTAATAAATTTTTGCTCTTTCAATTTTTAATATCTTTTCAGTCATTATAATTTATGCCCTTTTCTTTCAAGTTCTAAAAAAAGTGAAATAAAATCTCATGTTTGTACCGAGTCAATTAATTTCAAATTTTCCCTGCTTTTCGGTCTATTAAGAATTATTATTATTATTACTATTATTATTATCATCATCATCATCATCATCACCACTCCTGTATGACAAACTTTTAAAGCAGAGGGCAAAATTCAAAGAGAATTCTTCAATTTAAAATTAACAAGCTTCAACAAGATCAGACCATAAATCCTTCATTACAGAAACCCATCACTGATACATATCTAAGTAAGTAAAATAACATGTCCTTTCAGGATGTAGGCTATCATGGCTCTCCACATATTCCTTTTATTTATTATGTGTGAATTGCGGTGTATTCTTGAGAAAAATAGTGAACCGGTTTTCCACAGTGTGAATTAAGTGTTTTCCTTCTCTTAGACAGGTTGCCATCCAAGGTGAGAGTCTCCACTGTTATTTAATCCAGAGCTAAGAGTAGATGTGACATATTTGTAATGACATTATATCTAATTTAACAAAAATAAAATTTTATTGAATAGAAGATGCACCAATCATACCATCTTTTTGCAAACTTTACAACTCAAAAGTAATAGCAGCCCATGAAAACAATTAACTGTCCAAACAGACTGTCTACATACAAACAGCATTTGACCATGTACAGAAAGTTCCAGTCTAGACAGCTATAAAAACAGCACTAATATCCCATATAGATAGCAGTTTTGAACTAGCCAGTCAGGGGTTCAAACCCACTGCACAATGAAGGAATTTGATTTAAGCAGTAAGTCACTGATAAACTCTACATGAAGAAAATACACTAAACGCATTGATACAAAAATGAATCCAACAAACTAGACCAAAACTTGAACTTGGCATGCCAATTTCCTTTTCCTGCTAATATCGGTTACACTACTTGTCCATCCTGATATATATGTGTGTGTGTGTGTGTGTGTGTGTGTGTGTGTGTGTGTGTGAGACATCATTTGTTTACATTTGGATACGCCACGAGCAGATATGAATGTACGTGAGAGAATCATGGAAGATTGTAGTTTAAACACAGTAAAATCAACCTTGCTAACCGAACGCTCCTCTGTGGCCAAATCGGTTAAAGGCACATCAGGCTATATGACAGTTCCGTATAGGATACAGGTTCAATTCCTGTCAGAGGACGAATATTTTCTATGAAAATTTCTCGGACATTCAGGTTGGTAAATGTTGTTTAATACTGTTTATTATAAATAGAGCATTTACTTAAATATTTGTATCTATAAAAAGTATGTATAAACATAAAAATGTCTTAATATATATATATATATATATATATATATATATATCACAGGTCATCAGTGTGGCTAGACGTCCAGTTGCCTATAGCTATGATCGAAATCCAACTGAATTGGCATCAGTCGAGAATTCTACCACTAAGCCATTGGCGCACACCATGGAGGAAGGTGAATTTAAGTGTATTTATTTTTAGATAAACACACAGTGACTGAGAGAATTCAGTTGGATTCAGCAAAGAGTCTTGCATTATTAGCCATAATAGTCACTGTTTATAAACCTACACATCCTCCCCAGAGCTCAACTGAAATAAATTTTTCAGGAGCATATATTGTCATCCACAGACAGACTGTTTTGCTGTATCACAGCTCATCAGTGTGGCTAGATTATACACACACACTGAAATTTTAAAAGCTATAAAACCACAGCAATTTTTTAAAACATTGTTGCTAACTCATGTAATAGTAGCTTTTAATAAGATTCAAATAATCAGACAAATAATAGAGAAAATCTTATTAATTTGCTAAGACAGTTGGAAGCTTATCAGTCTCCATTGCTTTTTCTTGTCAAGTTATAAATAAACAGAAGACATCTTTATATAGATTATTTCTGTAATTTCTTTTTGATTTGTTGGTTCCAATCCTGATGGAATGACCATAGAAAACATCCCTTCTCCAAATTTATAGACACATCCTGTAGATGCATGCTGGGATTTCTTCCTAACTAATAAAAATGGGGCCAATTTTTCAGTCTCATCTGCCATAATTTTTTCTTTTGTTTCTTCTTGTCTTTAAGTCAAAATGCTACAATCACTTGACTGTATCCCTTTTGCATGTGAACACCATTCTTTGGGAACTTTTTGCCTTATTAGTGTTGATTTGCCTACTTTTGACTTGCATATATATTTGTTTGTGAATGAGAAAACTTTAGTGAGGAGAAAGGACAATAAAAGAACATCGTTCAGGTAGATGGTGTGTAACATGGCATTAAATTCTTTTAAGATTGTAGGTAACAAGGAACTTGAAGAGTGTTCCATAGGTGACAAGTGTGTTTCTTTAGTGGCATACTAACTCCTTATGACTCATTTAATACTGAAATTTAATTTTCTTGGGAGTATTAGTAATCTCTTTTGTATTGCTGGTAATATATATATATATATATATATTGTATTGCTGGTAATATATATATATATATATATATATAATTTTTACACAAATGTATTGCTAGAATATATTGTTATGAAAATATTTTAACAGTGCTTTGACTCTCGTTTGGGGGTTTAACTATTTGCCCATAGTTGGGACCTTAACAGATGTTACCACCCTCAGTCATGGTGTACGATAAGTAATAACTTTCTATTGCCATTGATGACAGTGATAATTATGTTGGCCTTTTCTTTAATTTCTTTTAAATGCAATATCAATCGCTATCTTATATCCTCCTGATTTCTCTTTCCTCTTCCTACTCATTAGTAATGTTTCTGTTTCTAATTCTTCCACACTTAGTAACCTCCTTGTGGCTTTACTGCCTTGCTTGCAACTAACTCGATTTAAAAGAAAAGAAAAAAAAAAGCAGCCCAGCCATCTGAAACAATATGGCTTCCAGTCTGAATATACTACAAAATCGCCTCATTTAGAGTTTCTGCTCATCAATCTGGCATCTCAACAAAGAAACATTTTCCCAAACACTGCTCAATACCACCAAATACCTAATGGCCAGGATGCCATTGGCCATGGTGATATTTATGATGAAAAAAACATTTAAAGATATAAAATGACAGTTTATTTTTATGGTATTTAAGTAAAAGATGATTCTTCTCTTATATGCCTTATCCTTTCAGAACATAAACAACAGAGTTATTTACCTTTAGAGCTCTTAGTAATGTTTGTCTTTTTAGTCTCCTTTCTTGTTCTGCCATCCATCTACTCAAGCTCAATAAGTAGGTTATGTATAGTCTCTTTCTGCTCCTCTTGCCTTCAGTATCAAATTGGCCAAGTCTTTTTTCCTCATTATGTGTCCCAAAAACTTCAACTTTTTTCTTATTCAAAGTATAATCTATTTTTTGTTTCTATATTCCTTAAAACTATTTCACTGTGCACATGCTCTATCCAAGGGTTTCTCAGCACTATTCTAAAATGCCACTCGTCTATGTCGCTTCTTCATCTGTAAGGAAATAGTCTAGCACTCACTGCCTTGGTTGGCTGACTTTGTTTAGCGGCATATCAACCTCTATGGGTTATCTAAATATTTTGAACACAATTTTATGGATATAAATATATTTTGAATGCAACTGTATATCTTCAACTACAGATAAAATGTATGTGTCATTTTACTATAAAAATGTATTGGTCATTTTACTATAAATAGGTATTGTAGGTAATTTTTTATAATAATGTATTACTGGTATTTTTTACTATAAATATATTTTCAAAATTTCATAGTGTTTTATTTTTGTTTGAGGGTTCACTATTTGCCCATAGCAGGGACCCTAACAGGAGCTATCATCCTAGGCCAGAGAACAAGAGCTACCATCCTAGGCCAGAGAATAAAAGCCACCATCCTAGGTCAGAGAACAAGAGCTACCATCCTAGGCCAGAGAACAAGAGCTACCATCCTAGGCCAGAGAGCAAGAGCTACCATCCTAGGCCAGAGAGCAAGAGCTACCATCCTAGGCCAGAGAGCTACCATCCTAGGCCAGAGAACAAGAGCCACCATCCTAAGTCAGAGAACAAGAGCCACCATCCTAGGTCAGAGAACAAGAGCTACCATCCTAGGCCAGAGAACAAGAGCCACCATCCTAGGTCAGTGAACAAGAGCTACCATCCTAGGCCAGAGAGCAAGAGCTACCATCTTAGGCCAGAGAACAAGAGCCACCATCCTAGGCCAGAGAACAAGAGCCACCATCCTAGGCCAGAGAACAAGAGTCACCATCCTAGGCCAGAGAACAAGAGCTACCATCCTAAGCCAGAGAACAAGAGCTACCATCCTAGGCCAGAGAACAAGAGCCACCATCTTAGGCCAGAGAACAAGAGCCACCATCCTAGGCCAGAGAGCAAGAGCTACCATCCTAGGCCAGAGAGCAAGAGCTACCATCCTAGGCCAGAGAGCAAGAGCTACCATCCTAGGCCAGAGAATAAGAGCCACCATCCTAGGTCAGAGAACAAGAGCTACCATCCTAGGCCAGAGAACAAGAGCTACCATCCTAGGCCAGAGAGCTACCATCCTAGGCCAGAGAACAAGAGCCACCATCCTAGGCCAGAGAAACAAGAGCTACCATCCCAGGCCAGAGAACAAGAGCCACCATCCTAGGCCAGAGAGCAAGAGCCACCATCCTAGGCCAGAGAGCAAGAGCCACCATCCTAGGTCAGTGAACAAGAGCCACCATCATAGGTCAGAGAACAAGAGCCACCATCCTAGGTCAGTGAACAAGAGCCACCATCCTAGGTCAGAGAACAAGAGCCACCATCCTAGATCAGTGAACAAGAGCCAACTTCCTAGGCCAGAGAACAAGAGCCACCATCCTAGGTCAGAGAACAAGAGCCACCATCCTAGGTCAGAGAACAAGAGCTACCATCCTAGGCCAGAGAACAAGAGCCACCATCCTAGGTCAGTGAACAAGAGCCACCATCCTAGGTCAGAGAACAAGAGCCACCATCCCAGGGTCAGTGAACAAGAGCCACCATCCTAGGTCAGAGAACAAGAGCCACCATCCTAGGTCAGAGAACAAGAGCTACCATCCTAGGCCAGAGAACAAGAGCCACCATCCTAGGCCAGAGAACAAGAGCCACCATCCTAGGTCAGTGAACAAGAGCTACCATCCTAGGCCAGAGAGCAAGAGCTACCATCTTAGGCCAGAGAACAAGAGCCACCATCCTAGGTCAGAGAACAAGAGCCACCATCCTAGGCCAGAGAACAACAGCAATTAAGAGGTAGTTCCATGCTCCTCAAAGCCTCCAATCTCCTGATCAAGCCCATGCTGCCGGACATAGTTTATCTTCATAGCCAGGAATCACCATATAAGAAGATCGAGAGAGTTTATTGTGAATGAGTAGTGACAAAAGTATACCACATAAGGAAATCTGTTATTCCCAAGAATAGGCATAAGATGGCTTTCAGAATTGATACTGTTGATTGTCATTACATGTTGAACTCTGGGGTATTGTTCTATCAGATGCAATGTTTGGTGTTGTACTAAATAATGAGTGGTTTGAAGAATAAAGTTGTAATTTTGAAGAAAATTCTGAGACCAGATTTCACTGTTCTAAAACTTGTTTTCTAATATTAGAGACCTTACTTATCAAACAACCCTAGTAATTTTGATACCAGTTTCATTATTCTATCTGGTCTAAAACTTGATATAAAGGATTGAATAACTTATTTCATCCAATAATAGAAAAACAGTGTAAATAAACATTAAAAAAGCTTGTGGGACAAAGAGATATTATTTTGCCTTAAGTCTTTAATGCAAGCCTTGAAAATGTCTTGTAAAAAAATCAATTAAAAAAATGGGAGTAAACACACTGAGAATATTTTCACTTCCAATTGTTTTGTTTTTTAAAATCAATATCACCCCATGCAAGGCAGTAAAGCCACTAAGTCACAAGTGGGTTACAGGGTGTAGAAGAATTAGAAACAGAAGCATTAATAATGAATGGAAAGAGAAAAGAGTAATCTGAATGACAAGTAAGTAGCAATTGACATTACATTTAAATTTTTGCAGATTAAAGTTGGCTGGAAAGCATGGAGTCAGAAGGGAGTTCCATGAACAAGAAGTGCAAGATAAGAAACTGTTAGCATAGAACTTCCATAAATTCTATTGATTGAAAAAAAAAAAAGAAATAAAAAAGAGTAATAAAAGAAGATGAAAAACTGGAAGAAGTTCAGGAATACATATAGATTAGATATGTAAAAACTTTAAAGAAATAATCTAAAAATGAATAAAATGACATAGGTATTGGGTGGAAGGCATTTGCTGTATATACTTGTGTATCATGTGACTTTCGAAGTGCTAATTTTAAGTTGGTCGCATCATACACAAGATATAAAATTAGTATATGTACTGCTGGCCCTAGCTACGTCGTTGACCAAACTATATATTTACTGTAGTCAAAAAGTACAGCTGTATTTAAAATAAACATAATTTTGATAAAACAGATATTTTACTTAACTGTATCCAATAATAATGCATGCAATATGCACATATTAGTATCATATTATAAAATACAAACAGCAAATATGCATCTTTTACATTGTTTATATTTTTAAGATATTCAGCTGTTTCTCACTCAGTTGTTTATGGCTGTACGCATTTACACAATGAGTATAGCATTACTAACAACACTTATCATTCTCTTACTTTTTTCTCTTACTTAACTAGAAGATGGGATAAAGAGATAAAAGAGGTTAGTCACTCAAAAAAAATGAACCAACATGATACATGAGATACATGATAAAATATTTATTAATATGTTTAAAATATTTAAATGTGTAGTGCATAATGAATGAATAATGCCAATTTAGATGTAAAGGGAAATTAACAAAAAAAAAAAAATCCAATTAACAAAATGATTAAAAGAGAAAAAGATGTTAAAGAGCTAACACTCAGGATAACTGAGAAATAAAAGATATAGAAATGATTAAAAGATGGAAAACTTGAGTCAGATCAAATACAGAACAAGAAAAGGAAACAGATGAAGCAAAAGGTTGCTTGATTGATGAAAATGGATAGCAAACACGGTTTAAAAAGAGAAGGTAGAAGATGGAGAGATGAGATTAAGAGGTTTGCTTGTGTGTCATGGTACAGTGATGGAACGAATAAGCAAAAGCCTATATCCCACAGTGAACTCACAGTGGCTGCAGGCAAGATATTTTTAAAAAAAACATGAAACTGACATTGTAAAAAAATAAAAAACTATGATAATGGCTTATGAACGTCCCCAAGTCTTCAGTCAATTTATATTCAAAATTTTACCAGAAAAGAGGAAAATGGTTCAAAACAGGAAAAAGTAAGTTTTAAAAATCCATAACAAAAGATTTATGATTTTTAACCAAACTTATACAAGTAGAAGTCCTGACCAAATACACAAGAGACATTGGTATATTACGGAACATGGTCATCAAGCTTTGAATCAAAGTAGTAATCATATATATTCCATTCAAACTATTCCCTCCAACATGTGGCCCACATGACTCAAAAGTGGCTGAATGTTACATGTAGTGTCTGTTCTGTATATCTCGTTTGGGTTATGACATGTAGTTTGTCATTGTCTCAAGGAGACAGCAAAATGGACTTAGAATATGAAATGACTCCTTGAAGACTGCTACTGAAGACACCCACCCTTGAGGCAGAGGACAGTTTTATTGAATGATCTTTTGTCTGTTTTTCTCAGCTGAATATTGGTAAAATTTCTTTTTTAATATACTGTTTTTTTTCCATTTATTTGACTTCGTCACACTCTGGACATGTATATATATATACATATATATATATATATATATATATATATATATATATATATATATATATATATATATATATATATATATAAAAAACATTGTTACTCCCACTTTTCCACTCTGTCTTAAGCAAAATATAGAACCAATATAGCAAAATGGTCTTAAAGAGAAAGAACCAGTAATGGTCTTATTTCCTTTGGAGGAACCATACAGAAATTTCAATAACCAATTGGTTTTACAATTCATGAAATTGTGCATCTTTTCTGAAAGACATCAAATTATTTCAGATTCATTTCCATTTCCTTCACTGGTAAATATATTGCCTTAGAAATAAATTGGCTCAAAATAGCCTCATTCTGACTTCTTCAAACTGCTGTCTTTGCAATAATTGCCTTCTCTTTGTATCATTTAAAAAACAAGTTTATAATTAACTTATATGCAAAATATATATCCTAATTGTCTTTGTTTTCATTTCAGTTAGTTTCCCCATTTTTCTTTAATTAGTTTATTAAATAATTAGTTGCTTTCTGTACAATCATTTTAATTTCATCTCAAATTGTTTTAATGCTAAATTATTTCAAGCAATGCTACAATTATTTAAACAAAATAGTTAAAATGGATTCTGAAACTAAATATGTTTCAAGAAGACACAATAATCCACAACTTTGAGACATTAAAAAAAAATTTATTCATGGAGGAGACAATAGACAAAGAAGCCTGGAGAAAAAAAAAAAGGATCAGACTTGATTACCATGTAATTTTGAAATTTTTATCTTTGTGGTTGTCAGACCATCATTACAGGATTTATTTTAGTTGATTATATATATATATATATATATATATATATATATATATATATATATATATATATATTAGTTGTGGACAGAATCATTTTCACCCACTGAATATTCATATATTTTGTAAGTAAATGGAAATATTTGAAAGTACTTACTGAATTTATCATATATATTTGATTCCATCCATATTTAGTTTAAAATAATTCATGAAATTTTTAAAAGTTTCAATCTGTTATATTCAGTTATAGATTTTTCTAAAAATTGTTGCAGTTCAAAATTATTTGCGCCACCACCACTCCCTACTTATGGAAATTCTAAAATAATATTGCTCTATGACAATTGTAATTTATTTTTTTTTTATTTCTTAATTTGACATTTAATACAAACACCCTTTGAAAATGAAATATCATTGACCTGATTGTGTAGCATTCTAAAAAGTAATGAAGACAATATGTGAGTTCCATGTACCCTGATAACTCATTTGTTCTGCAACCATGGCAAAGATGGCTCAACTTGACAAGCAGCTACAAATGGAGATTGTTGATATGTATAAAAGTGATGCATATAGAACACTTTCCAAGTGTTTAAATGTTCCTAGATTGACAATTCTTAGCATTATCAAAAAGTACAATGACATTCATTGTGTTGAGAATAAGTTAAGGACTGACAGAAAACGGTTAATTTCTGAGAGAATGGAAAGAAAAATTGTTAGAGATGTCTTGAAGAATCCTCACTTAACAACAAAGGACATTGTCAATGATGTAAAGGCATCAGGGTTGAATGTATCGAAAAAGACAGTGACTAGATGCTTTCATCGAGCAGGACTTTGAGCTTCTCACCCAAGGAAAACTCCCTTGCTTAAGGTTTAAACACTTAAAATGCAGATTAGCTTATGCTAGAAGCCATCTTGGACATTGGAGTAAATATTGGAACTCTGTTTTATGGTCAGATGAAACCAAATTAGAATTATTTAGTCACATGAACTCTTGTTATGTATGAAGGAAAGTCTCACAAAGCAAAAAATACCCTCCGTATAATTAAGGGTGTTGGTGGCAG